TATATATATATATATATATATATATATATATATTCCATGTTAACTTAATCACTTAGGTTCAAAACCAATATACAAGACAAAATTTAAGAAGAAAACAAAGAATTATGAAAATATCTTTATTTAAATATTAAATATGTAACGCAAATAAAATTTTATTCTTTCAAGAATCTTCATCTCAAATTATTTTCCTTTCTATAAAATAATTAACTCCCCGTGGAAGATATTTTAGGAGTTTAAACATAGACCGATATAACAAAATTATTTTAAGATAAGGACACAATTATATCATTTTTATTTCTTTCTTTTAAAGCAAAATGCTTAGACAATTGTACCAAACATCTTGATTTCTTAAATCCATGAATGAATTTATTCAACTTGATTAAATAATTCTCTTTATAGTTTGCATCATTTAGAAAATTAAATTCTTCATAGAATTTTGTATAAATATTGTTTTCAAGATAACCATACAAATAAGATATAACAACATTCATTACATGCAAGATGAATGATTTATATTAAACTAGATTAATTGAATATTTAAAAGCATTTGCATCAACTGTAATTGATTCAAAAATTAGTTATGTTTTATATTTCACAATTTCATCATTTTTATTTTATTTTTTTACAAAGAATTATCCGTATCTAATTGATTTAACACCTCAACGTATGAACTATAAGTCCAGAATTTCTTCACTTATCAAGAAAGTCTAATTTTCTTTTATTTCATCTTTTCATTTTGTTCAATTATATCTTTGTTGACAATCTTTATAAATTTTGGTTTCTGATCCCCAACATCATTTATAACATTTAGCACTATACTTTAGAAAGAAAATTATCATCAATATTGATTCTATTTTGGTTTCATATTATTTCACTCATGACATAATTAATCGAGATCTTGCAATTTTGTAATAATTTCAGGTACCTGAGTTCTTATGAAACTAATATATATTAATTATATTAAGTGAATATTTTGGAAGTCTGGTCCTCAATTGACCTATGTTGCATTTTAAATAAATGAATATTTTTGGATTTCCATCTTCAATTGGCATATATTGTCTTTTCTTATGATTCTTAGTTTTGAAATCATTGAGTTACCACACTTATGCCATGTTTGACTCACTTACAATATTAGAATATTTAATTAAAACATCAATTATAATTAATTGCAGCATTGATAATTGGTACATATATTTTCGATTAATAAATAAATAGTATTTGATTGACTAAGTTTTATAAATAAATTATCTTTCCAATATCTAGTTCACATTCTCTCATAAAGATCAACATGAGATAACGATAATTCATTCTAACTAATATATTTTTTCAATAGTTTATTCTTCCTCTAATATTGAAAAACTTATTCATCAAATTCACAATTAGCAAATTGAGTCATAAAATAACCTTTGATCATTCGTTTTAAATACTTTATTATTGTTAATAGAATTCATATCTAACATATATTCTCAATCTTCTATGATGAATTTCAAATTCACTTTGGGAAATATTTTATCAATAACCGAAAGTCAATTATAAAAGAGAGATATATGACATTGATTTGATGTAAAATTGTATTTCAATATATATAATTACACAACTCAAGTAGTGATAGGAAGATTCAATCTCATGAGTAATGATTTTGTAATCAACTTTAAACACTTTAAATGATTTTGCAAGTCTATTATGCGTATGAATAACTACAAGATGTTCAACATCAATTTCAAATGATACACAATACTCATTAAAAGTATAAGATATAATTTCATCATTATTATACATGAAATTTTCTTAATTTGAAAATGAACTTTTATCAAATTAGTTGAACTAACAACTGATAAAACAAATGTATGACGGTCTAATTGATGCATCACTTAAAATCATAAAACTATAAATCGTCTACATGGTTGTATTTGTTCACAAATGTCACCTTATATCAATTCTAAAAATATAATAAATTTATTGCTTATTTTTTAACTTTTTGGTGATGATATTATGATTAACTTCCTTTCTAAATATATAGTACAAGATAAATCATTCGAGTTAAGAAGTTTATGGTTCTTACTTAAAGGTACAAATGAATTTATAGATATTTTTTGCATCATAATAGGTTTGTATTGATGAATCACTCCTAGCAAATAATAAATTTATTTTGATTGTAAGCTTCTCGTTTATTATGACAAGTGTTTCATTTATATATATATATATATATATATATATATATATATATATATATATATATATATATAATATAAATCATAGAAGCCTAATAATTTAAATATATTTCTTTTATTAATTGTATAAATGTATATGAAATAATCTCAAAATATATTTTTATTAGATATAAGATAAATATATATACAAGTGAGATATAGTCAATTAAACAAAATTTGAAAAATATTAAACTAAATTCATATAAATTGAGAAATATATTTACTATATTACTTTGATGTCTTGATTTAAATTAATCAAAATATTTGACAATAATTATAAACTTAACTTATGTGACAATATCCATTTCAATAAATATTTTTAATATAATTATTCTTTTACAAATATATATATATATATATATATATATATATATATATTATAATAAAATATTTTAGAATTTAAAACACACCCCTCCTGGAGTAGCCTAACATCATGACAATAACCTGAAAGATGTTAGGCTTTGACTCGATACCATGTTAAGGTTCCAACATAAAATCAATTGGCAATATGTGGAGTAGCCTAACATGTATTTAAACATACAAAATGACATGAGGTAGGCGAGGTGAAACTTTCAACAATAATCATGTGTATAAATTAAATTATTATAAAAATATATTCCAATATAGTTAAAGTAAAACAACAAATAAAATAATAAAAAAATGATTAATACATTTTTAATGTATTTAATTATTATAATTAAATTTGGTTATAAACATATTTAAAATATTTTGAATTTAAATAATCTTAAACAAATAATTCAATAATATTAAAGCATTAAAAACATGAAATATTATTTTAGGCTTTTTCACATTCAATATCATATTCAATTCCCCGATTATTACCATATCCACCAAAATATGAATAAAATATTTTCATAATCATGAGAATAGAGCACCTAACAATAAAATACTTTTTATATTTACTTTTGAGAATGACATCAGTATTTTTTACATTCACTCTCCAGTATGAAACAAGTCTTTTGAGCTTATTTTGTTTATAAATTTCAAATAATAGAATATTTGATATGATCATAAATATAATATAAAATTTAAATTAATAATAACCACATAAATAATATAAAATAATAGAAATAGTTACTTAGCTCAATAAACTACAAATATTAAAATAAGATCCCAAAATAAAAAGAAGAAAAATTGGATATTTATATTTCACTAAATAAAATATCTTATTTATAGATTCAAAATGTAAAACTTAAGAATTACAAATATACACCAAAAATCATCAAATGATAAATGTTTTCACAAAGAGAAAAGTTTGTTTAAATAGATTCAATTCATTAAACACTTCAATATCTTTATTTTATATCATTTTATCATGTCATATTATTTATCATATTTATATTTCATTCTCTAACACTTTGTTTATAGAAAAAGAAATAGGTAGACAAAAAAAGAAGAGAAATAAATAAAAAGATAGTAAAAATATTGATTCACGGATTTAAAGAAATAAAGTGTTTATAATTAGTGTTCCCCCAGTCATTTTTGTAGTGTTATATTACGTATCAGTCACATAATTAATGTATCTACTTGATCATAAGATTAGAGGTCACGTTCACCAAGTGACTTGATAATACACTAATAATTATAGAACTACCAACCAATAACAACCCAACGCACACAAACTGCCATTTCCCAAAACATGTTATCTCAGGATGTGAGGTATTACATGGAACCTTATAAATATAAGTATAGGTAAACAACAAATATAAGTATTGAATATTCTAGAGAAAATCCTAACAGTTGAACCAATACCTTTTTCTAGATCATTCGCTTGATAATAGGAGTGCTTCCCACATGTGAGAAACTGGTTTCCATGCTTGTTAACATTCCTCTTTTTATGCTCTATGTGTAGTTAACATTTGTAGAATAAATGAGATGCTTTCTTTAACTATGCTAAGCAAGTTTGGAATCTCTCTTTTTAATTACCACAATAAACTAGTTGTTCAGAATAAGTTCGATATCGAATCATGAAATCTTAGTGATGTTTTCTATTCTCTTGCTATCTCTATCCCACCAAACTGTACGTGTAGAATAGCATGAATTGGTGGTCCATGCAATATTTCACTTGCCACAAAAACACAAACCAAAGCTTGTTTTCACTTTCCTGAAGTTTGGTTGCCTCCTACTTCTAATATGTACTAAGCCTTAGGAGACCTTCCTTATCAGTAAGCAGAGATAACTTGTGGCATACTAGTTATGACACAAGAAAGTAATGAAAGGTTGTTTTTGCTTTTTTATACATATAATGCATGAAAATCTAATCAATAACATAATTTACAATTCTTCTGCTTACAACCTATCAGGTTTTGAGCTTAACTAGAACTGTAGCTACTCTATAATCTGCAGCTCCATTTTTAAAAACAACAATTTAGAAATCTATGATCCTCTCGGTACATGAAATAAATTGAACTGGACCTGCTGCTAAGTTGACATTTATAATCACTAGCAACACAATTGCAAAGGGGCCATAGATAGTTATACGAATTTGGCTTACATTTTCCACAAACCAAAATAACATAATGAATTGAACTAATGAGGCACGATTACAGGGTGCATACAGGAGTGACTAATCTAAGTGAATGTTTAAGGAGCCAATTCACACAAAAACCTCTAAGAACTTGCCCGCAGGAGGATTCCCACTTTCAAGGGATGGAATCAAATGAATAAATAATTAATACATGAATCACACAATAATGTCAAATACCTTACAATGTGAAACTTTGAAATCAACTTGTGAAGAAGGGGAAAGAAAACTGCTTGAGAGAAACTTCATCTGAATGACCATTGGATTTCTTCAATGGTTTTTCCCTTTGTCTCAGGGACCCAAATGGTAACAAATCCTACAGTCAAGGCACATACTAATGCATATATGGTGAAGGTTCCTGACAAGAACAAAGGTAGCATCTGGTTAACAACAAATAACATAAATATTCAGAGGAAAATATAGGCAATGGGGACAAACCTCCAGAACTCCAGTCCAAGAGCATATTTGCTGTCAGTGTAACCAGCCAAGAAAATAACCAGTTGGCAAGTGTTGCCACACTCCCCGCTAGGCCTTTAATGTTTATTGGAAGAATCTGTGATATGATATGATATTTTGAACAGATTAGCTTTGACAAGACACTTCAAATGCAACCAAATAAAGCACACTGCTAATTTTATTTCAAAAATTTGTGTTACGAGCAAATGCAATCATGAAATGCTCAATTTCAGGAGTATAATGTTGATCACAAGAAGAAATTGCATAATCAAAACAGTTATGTCCATACAAGAATTTTTGTTTCATGAAGTACATGGATCTGCCAAAAATGTTAGTTTATTGTTTTTTTGGTACCAAAAAGGTGTATTTGTTTTCTGGTTGTCAGATATTCTGACTTCATTACTCCTACTCAAAAAACTTGATAGGTGGGCGCTTCATTTGGTAGGGGAGAGGGTAATAGCAACTAGCTAGCTGGAACCGTATCTTTTAGGAAGCGGCAGAAGAGTAAAGATGACTAACAACAAAAATAGTAACTTCAACCAAGCCTTTACTATTAGTTGGGTTGGTTACATGAATCAAACAATGTGATAATGTTTTTCCATAATCAAATATATTGACAACTTATTGATGTCTAAATCGTTAACTGTTCTTCCCAAAGATCATCATGAGTATCCTAGTTGCAGCATATTCCTATATTTGGAAAATAAAAGCCTAAAATGTAAAACTACAAAAATGGTACCTCAGACATTATAATCCATGGCATAGCTCCCATTCCCAGAGAGAATGCAATAACCATGGCCTGAAAGAATTGGATGTTTAAAATTCAGTAGTCAGATAACAAGCAGTCAAAAACATTATTTCAATGATGAATTTACATGTATTCACTTACCACAACTCCAACCAGCGACAAGGTGCTCAATATCCCATACAAGGAAGAAGTTTCTGATATACTAGCCTGGGAGGATTTCAGAAAAATCATAACGAACAGGTGGTGAGTAGTTCCATGAGACTGTCGTACCCACTCATATGGGCAGCCACGTACATGCATTTAATAAAACAGTGCATGATGTGTAGCAACAAAATAAAATTTTTATTACCTTTACATAGAATGAGATTGCAACAAGTAAGAGACTAAAAGTCATTCCAGTTGCAGAGACCTGCAATGCAAGGGAAGATTACATCATTCTTATCCTAATTCTCCAATCAAATAAACACATACAATTAAACATGATAGAAAAGTTCAGACTCACAATAAGGAGAAGCCGGCGACCAGATTTGTCTGCCAACCACAAAGTTAAACTGGTGGCAAGAACCTGGATGACATGTATTTATCAGGTAATGAATTGAGAATATTGGACAGCAAAAAGGATATTAAAAATTTCATCTCAGCTGAACCTGAACAGCACCAACTCCAAATGTTGCTGCATCACTCGAACTAATTCCTGTTGAACGGTGTTGAAACTATGAGAATAAAGGATAATTTTAATATAATAGCATGAGAATATCCCAAGAAATAGTCAGGAGAAATAAGTTTTTTGTCCTTAATAGAAAATTCTGACCATTAAGGTGATTATTCATTATCATATAATTGTACAATTGTAAGCTTCATTCATTTTTTTTTTAAATTTGAATTCATCTCTTCGATAATTCTAATTCATGGTTTTGACTGAAAGGAATGTTATTGAAAATCATACAAACTTGATATATAAACTCTGGCCAAAAAGTTTCATGGTTAATCCATGTTACTCCTGGTACAGTACTTCAGAATATTATAATAAATCAGCATAGCATACCAGCACTTTGAAAAATGGTACTGGAATAAAAAAGAACACCATTAATTCCAGAAAGTTGTTGCAAAATAAGCAGTCCAATTCCAATCTACAAGATGAGCAAGTAAAAAAAATGGTTAGACTCTAATGGTCACTGTTAATTTGTTATGCAACCCAACTCCATAAGGCAGATAGATTTTGATATACCATTAAGGGAAGCCAATATCTTCTTTGTTTGAGATCTACAAATCGAATTGTAGTTCTTCTGTTGGTCGAAGCAACAGCCCTCTGAATAACATGACTCCACATAAAAAGTCAATTTTAGGATACATTAAATGGTAATAAAAACATAGGAAATATGAGGGTTATGCATTAGAATAAAGCTGATGAATGCTTATAACCTTAATTTCATTCACTTCAGTAGAAATATCAGTATCAAAGCCTCGGAGCACTTGCAAGGAAGTTTCAAATTCTTCTGTCATTCCCATTTTTGCCTATATTCAGCAAAACAACTTCACTTTTTGAAACTATCAACAGATATCCGATGACATTCAATAATACTAATTCGCAAAGTTTACCAGCCATCTAGGAGATTCGGGAATGAAAAAAAGGCCAGGTATCAATATTGTACATGGTAAAATTCCTGCAAGCGTGAAGATATAGAGGAGCTTAGTTTGAATTTTCTCACAGAACATATAAGTCAGCAGAATGTAGTAAGTTATGTTTAAATAATGTTTTTTCCATTAAGCCAGGTCAACAAATGCAATTCTTTATCCTTGAGTTTATCCGAAAGCAATGAATGGGCTTCAAACCTTCCCAACACTCCAAGCTTAGAATAAATCTAATACATGATTTGATAGTGATAGAATCATAATTGTGCTGACTAACCTTACAAATTGGGTTTAAGATTTAATGCAACCTCACAAAAATGTCTTTCAAGGTGAAGATTACTCAAATAAAACTTTATTTATTATAAAGACTACATTAATCATATCTCTCATCAATACAAGGATCTCAACACTGCCCTCATGCCGAGCATGGGCAAATGCAGATGGCCCAATACCAAATCCCACTGCCACCTAATACTAGACATCCCAATAATAGTTATTATAGGATAAAATCTGAAACCAGCTAAAAATTGAGTTTATGATCTAATTCAACTTCACAAAATCTCTACATTTAGGTTTTATGACATTTGATAGTTACAAGAAAGAGGATAATATCTGACGTTGCAAAGGCACATAAGTTATTACCTAAAATTGCGAGGAATCTCCATTCAACAAAAATGCCCAGCAGATACGCCAGCATAATTCCAATGGTGACAGCGAGCTATGCAGAAAAGAAACATAAACATCACTAATCTAAGAAATGTTAATATTTAGCATTAAATCATATCAACCAACCTGGTTAACTGAAACCAAACCACCCCTCAAGTTTGGAGGTGAAATTTCAGCTATATATACCGGCACCTGTGAATTTGAAGTTTGAACACTCAATAATTGTGTCACACATAACTTAATCACACATTAGCAAAATGAAAACTATTACCGTGTAAGATATTATGCCTACACCAAACCCTTCCAACAATCTTCCCATATAAAGAAAAGAAGAATCCTGAAAGATGAAGACATGTCAACAGGGCAAGCTCAAGATCATGACCAAATGTGTTTGGACTCACATTGGGTCATCTATAATCACATCGAAATACCATTCATGTGATTCCAGGTGTTTGGAGTCAAGTTGAATCATTCAGAATCACATTGCAATACAATTAATGATTCTAGGAAAAAAAAAAATATTACAATGATTCAAGCTTACTTTTGCAAAGGAGATAGCCAGCCAACCAATAATATTCGGAATGGACGCAATCATCAAAGACTGCAATTTCAGACAAGAAATTGAAAGTGCCCCGTTGACCATTTAGTTAGCCTCATCCCTCAAACTAAAATATTGAAATTAAAGTAAAAACACACACTTATCCACAAGAAAAAAAGAGAGAGAAAAAGTGTACCCCTTTACGCCCTATATACTCGGCAATCTGACCACTAGCTATTGCTCCAACCATAGCACCAACATTGGACAAAGAACCAAACAAAGAAAACTGCCCAACGAACACAATGAAGTTGTGAAACACTAACACAAGGAACCATAATCAAACAAATCAACACATACTCATTCTCAGGTTCTCAAGTTCCCATTCATGCATGATTCAAACATACCTCAGAGACTGAGAGGCCGAGATCAGTGATGATAGCAGATTGCGTTGGTGAGGTGTAGCCAGCCTGTCAGAAAATGACCAAGATCATGTTTTGTGAGTTTCCCATTGGCTTATGCCATTGACTTTGCAAGAAAAAGAGTTTCTTACAGTGAAACCAAACTGAATTGGACCCAAAGCAACGATTAGAACACAAACAAAGACTGAGATGGAGGAATCACGAATGGCTTGTGTGGAACCAAACACACTGGATTGTCTCCCACTCATACGATACCAACTTCCTGTGTGAAGAAATGGCTTCTTCAGATCCCTTCCCTCTTCATTTTCTTCCCTCAAATTCATTTTTTCTTCCTTTGTTTCTTTCCTTTTTTTCTGCTATGTTAAGCTATGATTGCTTAATGTCAACCTCGTTCTTCAATCTAACACACATTTACATTAGAGGGAAAGTGGATGACATGACATGACATGACATGTTAATCTAACACACATTAGCGATGGAAATTACAAGAAAGACAATCTTTTCACGACAGAGAAATGGTATTTTTCTTCAACATTTTTTTCTACAATAATTTTAATTTTCTCCTTTTCTATATGATAAGCATTAAATATGTTTTGTATTTTCAAAGATACTAAATGTTTATTTGTGTTTAATCTATTAGAAATTTATTATTAAAGTTTTTTAAAAACTTTTATTCAAATCTCTCTTAAAAAATTTAATATATACTTTTGTAAAAAGTTTTCGATTAATTTTTTTCTAACTTTGTTATAATAAAAAAAATCACATTAAATTTGATTATAAAAAAATTAGTTTCACATATTTTAAAAAATTTGAGAAATAATTTATTAATTTAAAAATATAAGAACTAAAAAAAATAACAAAAAGAATATAAAAATAAAAACATACTTTTCTTGAATTTTTAAGATAATTGAATCCTTGAAAAAATTAAAATAAAAAGAGTATTTTTTATTATTATTTTATGTTAAATTGTCTGGCTTAATTACTTTACGATTATCCTAATTAATTTTTAAAATCAAATTAGTATTGTCCTTTTTTTCTCCCATTAATGGAAAATATTAAATTGAGAATTAAGAACATAAAACATGTAGTTAAAATTTTGAAGACTCCTTGTGGTCAATTTTCATTGTTTGATTTATACAATTTATTTGGCCAAGTTCTTGTTTTCAACTCCAAGATTGTTTTGAAGTTCTTCTTCTCTTCCACGGATTTTCAGAATGAGACAAAAACACAATCTTTAACTACAATTATTTTCTTATCACTGCAAACTCATAATATGATTAGAATTCATTTTTAAATATTTTGAAATTTTCTTAAAATCAAGTTACTGAAGTTTATATCTTAATATAATTTTAAAGTAATGTCACATGAAGCCCGTGTGAACTAAACTTTATTTTATATTATTAATTTGGATTGGATTAAATAATTGAGCATGTGATCTACACCCAATTGTTTTTCAATACTGTAAGTTTGATTTTCTTCTATTATTATATATTAGTTTCGATTTGGTTTTGTCACTTTTGAAGATTGAGATTTGTTTATTGTGGTGGCACTACCTAACCCAAAAATGTTAAATTAATAACAAAAACTATATTTTATATGATTATGATTTCTTTAGAAAAATAAAAAAAATGTAGAAAATGTTAAAAGAAAAACGGATGATGTTATTGATGTTGATAAGAAATCATGAGATAATATAATTTAAGCATGATTATCCCTTTTTTAGAATAGTTTATGATTAAGCATGTTAATCACATGTGATGCCACGTATTTACAATAAATAGAATATGGAACAAAATATATTGAACAAATAAAAAGGCAATTAAAAAAAACTTAGATTAAATTTTTTTCAAATTGTTTCAAGGGGTTTCAAGTTTTAAATTTGTCTTATTTTATTTAATAATTGTTGTTTTGTAGTTTAAATGAACGTGCTCAAATGAGAGTGAGAGGATAGATGATGACATTATGTTATAAAGAAAGTGTTAGTATAACTTATGAAAGTATAATTGAACACTACAAGAAAAAACACATTTAGTGATCGAAATTAGCGACCGAATTTTTTTGGTGGCAATTAGCGACCGATTTAATTCGATCGCAATTAGCAACCGATTTAGCGACCGATTTAATTTGGTTGCTATTAGCAACCGAATTAATTCGGTAACAATTTAGCGACCGATTTAGCCACGGAAGTATAATTTGGCTTCACATTTTTGAGTTAGCGACCGAAATAGCGACCAATAGTTTGCGTCGCAAATTTTCGGTCGCTAAATCGGTGGCTATTCCACACTAAAATAAAAAAAATCATTTAGCGACCGAATTACAAATTGAAATAGTGACCGAATTAAAATCGATCGCTCATGAGAAAATAGCGATCGAATTTAAATCGGTCGCTAATGAATATTATTTTTTTATTATATTTAAATTTATTTTTTTATAAATATACTTTAATTGTTTTAGTATATTTTTTACAATTTATTTTTTAAAAGTAATTTATTTTTTAAAAGATATTTTAAAAATAAACTTTGGTCTCAATATTAACAAAATGACGATTAACTTTAATTTTAAATTACTAAAATAAAAATATTATTAAAAATAAATCAAATTTATTAAAAATTTAAATTGTAATAAATTAAGACTAGAGTAATATTAACTATTCAATACATTGTTTAAGAAAAGTTTAATAATAAATATTCTTTAATTTATTTTTCAATTGAAAATTTCAATTGAAATTAAATTATATTTTAAAAATTTATATTAAAAAAATTAAACACATCAAATGGTCACATTTTAATTCCTCATTAACTTAATTAATTAAAAAAATAAAATTTTAATCAAATTATTACAATTTTATTTTATAAAACTTTATTTTTAATCTAATCTTTAAATTTATTGCTTTATTATTATTAATTATTTAACCATGGTTATTTTCATATAATTGATATACAAAAAAATTATATCAATATACATTAGTTTAAGTATACTAATTAATATTTTTTCA